AGGAAAGACCTGACCAGATATGTGTATTCAGGTCAGCCCGACTTAGCCAGGTACTGGCCCTATCTCAAAGTTGTGTCAGGTATGACCAGCTTCACAACACAGCCAGGATCTAATAACTAGACCAGGGTCAGTATGACCAGATGGCTGGTCAGTAGATGGGTCGCCTGGCCTCAGGTGACCTGTTAGGGTCAGTGAGGCACTAGATCTGCTGATAGGAATATGTGTATTGGGATTATCTGGCCTCAGATGACCCACACTAATGGGTCAGTGTGGCCGAGATTTGGTCATATAAAAATGTGTATTGGGCTTGTCTGACCTGTTGTAGACTAGCTTTCCTGATTTTTACCTGGACATACCTGTGCACTACATATTTACCTGGACAGGTGTTACACAGAACAGGTTTTAGCAAGTGTATGACCAGTGTTACGCCTAACAGACGAGTAGTCTGCTTTATTGACTGTAATAAGAGCTGGCAATGATTGGGTTATTTACGGACTCACTCAGGTAACGCGTGGACACGTACTCGTTAGATCACCTGGTCATTCAGGTATAAGGTCACTACAGACTAGGGTAACTGACCATTCGGTCACACCATGGTCCAAGTGTTTTGTCCCAGAACTTGACATGTAGTGCCAATCTAGGCCAAATATCTTGGTCATGAATATTTACATATCATTTATACACAGCTCACTGAGAACAGGATGACCTCTACAAGGTATTTTATAATGGACATTTCCTTAAGAACAGGTCAAGATGACCTCTATAAGGTATTCTATAGTAGACATTTCCTTAAGAACAGGTCAAGATGACCTCTATAAGGTATTCTATAGTAGACATTTCCTTAAGAACAGGTCAAGATGACCTCTATAAGGTATTCTATAATAGACATTTCCTTAAGAACAGGTCAAGATGACCTCTATAAGGTACGCTAACATGTACAACCAAACACCTAGCCGATTTTTCTAACAAAGAATGGGTGTGCGAGACTAAATCTACATACAGAATATTCATGTAACTTATACTAACTGTCTGACCAAAACACTGACCCCAACAACCTCTATCAAACTATACCTATATAAAGGACCGAACTTTTAGAGTAGAAAGAATTTTGGTGGGTGCGGGCCGAGTACCTTTCACCTGTAAGAATGTAGTCCACAGAGAAAAGGCTAATTGAAAGGGAAGACCTGGTCTAGTCTGGCTGTGGGGAGTTGTCTGTATCTGTGCCCCGATCTCTTGCCAAACCCGAGTTACATCATATGTGTGGGGGGCTCAGCGAGTGTGATTCACCTTCAAGCTTCTAACTGATCCCCTTCTCCATAAAAACTCTCCGGAAACTTTTCCCCTGGCTAGCATCACTCAGCCCTGGTGCTATCTGCTACTCCAGTATCGGTCCCTATCATCTGATTACACTTCTTTGAGATATATTGCTACCCCCCCCCCACCCCCCCAAATGTTTTTTTCAGTCCACATTATTTTATTTACTTTTAGATGTCTACACCAAATTGTTATTCTAAGCCAAAGCACACTGCATGAACAGATAGATCATCAAAATCTTGCGCCTGAAAATCAGGACCATTTTGTTTTTTGAGGCAGGTGGGGTTATCTGTTTGAATATGTTCATGCACTCTTCCTGAGAGAATAATATAAAATCCATTCGCAAGAAATTACTTTTAATTATGAACTTCTTTGATGTATAGCGATCCAATATGTGAGCCAAATGCCTCTACTCATCTGAAAGTCTTGGGCAGTTCACCTCTCTCCCACCTTTCGTATTAACATAAAAGTGTACATTTCTAATTACATAACATGTGTAAACGTTTGCTTTAGGATGGTATGACCAGCTGTATACACTTATGCACAGCTATGTGCAGTACAGGCTGCGTTTCAGTGTTATAATTAGCCGAGGCAGAGGCTAGCCTGGCAGATGCGGCCCTTAGAGCCAGGGGGTTTGACATTTAGCGGGGGTATTGACTTCTACTAATAAACTCTATCGAAAACTGGGCGTGCTTTGTGTCTACACATATGCACACACATACATTGCTTAAAGTGAGAGTGAAAACGTCGACAAGATGTTTGACCAATCAGGTAAGATGTGTCGATGGTCAAGTAAAAAATGTGATGGCCGTTGATCACGATGTGATGACGCAGCATCAGAGTTGGGGAGATGCTTGTTATACTAGGTGCTCTGCCACCTAGTACTGTATAACGTGACCTACACAAAAGGTTTGACCGGAAACTTTGTCAGATTACATCTACGCTGTTTGTGTAACTTCCACACAAGTGGCCTGCTATGTATGATGCTATAAGACCTAATGTTTCCCTACCATTAGACTGGTCTAGCCTTTGTTATATTTTCCCTACCATTAGACTGGTCTAGCCTAGGCTATAGTTTCCCTACTATTAGGCTGGTCTAGCCTATTTGTATTTCCTTACCATTAGACAGGTCTAGCCTTTTATGTATTTTCTTAACCATTAGACTGGTCTAGCCTAGGCTATAGCTTCCTTACCATTAGACCTGTCTGACCTGTGTCCAATTTCTTTTACCATTGAACTAGTCTAGTCTATGTCATTGTTCCCTTATCATTGAACTGGTCTAGTCTATTTATCTGGTATTTTAAGTATGGCCTACAGGACCCTCATCTCCCTACCGTAAAAGTGATCTGGCCTATGGTGCCATTTACCGGGTATGTAGATGGATTTGGCGAGTGTGGCTTGCCAGCTCGCAAGGCCACAAGCCAGAGTGATCATACAGTCCCACTACTACGCTGTCGCCCCCCCCCCCCCCCCCCCCCCCCCCCCCCCCCCCCNGGGCCTGTGGATGAAGTAACTCGAGCATGCCAACACCAGTGAACCTCTGTTTGTTTAATTAAAGACGGCCATTACTCTGATGGGAACCAGACTATATCATTACGCCCTGTATATTTTTTCCAAATGTACACAAGCACATGTAATAAGTATGGGGCTTTTATGTAATCGCTGTGTACAGTATTAATATTTGTGTGGATAACAACTGTCAAGCCTATACACTAGCAACAGAGAACACGTTTCCACAGTGATTCCCCCTTCTCTAACTCATCCCTCCGCCACATCACACTTTCTTCCCTATGATGATGATGGCTTTCATCAATGGCAAGATATACCGACAGGTTCATAAGAATATTGAGTGATCAGATCACAGGTCCCACATGACATGGGACACGCTGGCTGGCTATCCCCGAGTCATATGATTTACTACATCTCTAGATCGTCAGGACACCAGAAATGTGAGCGGCGGCGGCTATCACGATGTATATCTGTCTTTTACGTATAAATAATTTCTACGTCTCACTCGTGAAATAAGCTGCAGACCTTCAACAAGTATTGACAGAATGCTCTTTTTAGTAATCAATTTTTAAAGAGCTTGAAATCATATAGCAATAGTGAACACATTTTTTATCTTACCTTTTAATGAAGACAATTTTATATACAACAGACTCTGCCTTAACTGAACTTTGGATAAACTGACAACTTGTATAATCAGACCATCATATAGAAACGGAAGAATTTCATTCCAGAACTGTTTGATCATAAAACCTGACCACTTGGACAGAAAGACTTGATCTCAGTAATGTCTTATGTTATGTCCTGTTTAGACAGGTTTCACTGTGATGCCTGTTTTATGTCCAATTTAGACATGTTTCATTGTGATGCCTGTTTTATGTCTGGTTTACACAGGTTTCACTGTGATGCCTGTTTTGTCCTGTTTTATGTCCGGTTTAGACATGTTTCATTGTGATGCCTGTTTTATGTCCGGTTTAGACATGTTTCACTTTGATGCCTGCTTTATGTCCGGTTTATACAGGTTTCACTGAAGGTAATCTAACTGCCTGGCTCTTCAAGTAGACTCCAATAATTATGTAAGTACTATAGTGATGTAGCTTCAACAATACTGATATTTCTTCGGAAATGAGGAAAGGTCACTATAAATAAATACTCCCACTTACCTGCCTGGAACACTTACCTTGGCTTTAAATAAGTCCACCAATCAGAAAGGCCAACTTCTGGTGTCCCAAGCCTTCCTACTATCATCTCTCTCACTCATTCTCATCCTTTTCAAAATGGCGAACAATTTAATTATATATTCAAAATAAGACATGACAGGTAATGAAACGATGGCAGATGTCTGAACTTTTACCAAAAATAATTACAAATTGAATTTTTTTGGGAGTCTCCAATTAACCTACATTTGAAGGAAGACACCACACAGCGAGACAGTTGTCAATACTGTACAAGTACACTTGTCAGCAATAGTTTTGAACTTTAAAACTTGTTGTTGTAAATGATTAAGTTCAATTTTATTTCAGCCGAAATTACTTTAGCACACAGACATTGAACACAATTGGATGAAAGTGTGGCAGTGTTCTTGATACTGAAACCTCGTCCACCACATAAACAGCTAGACTATCTCAACCACAATCTCTAGCTGCTTCCAAATAACAGGTGTTTTGTCATATTCATAATAAGGTCTTCCAAATAATAGTCAAACATCTACCACGTTCACCTTGCTTTAACTTATTTCTTTGATGTTTATGGCTTGTACTTTCAAAAGTTCTTATCCCAAACAATTGTTTGAAACATAGAAAATGGAAACAAATATGGAAATTGGGCACAATTAATTTTAAACAAAGATGTTCAGTGATTAAATTTCAACACCTAGGCAAATCGTGTTCTTGATAACAAGTCATCTCCAGCATTTCTGACACTTTACCGAAGTTGTACAAGAAAACTCTCTTCTACCCTTTCTCAGCAGCTGTTACCAGGATCAGAATAAAAACAAATTCATTGAACTTCATTGCATTTTCAATGTAGATCTATGCATTGTCTGTTTTTTGCTGACATGGAAATGGATTGCTTTCATTGCAGAAATACGATTTGCCCATTTTTTGTCGTTGCCATGGAAATGCATTGTTTCCAATCCTGAACTGTGGGAACAGATGTGTTTTAACAGACGTATCACCTACCTGTATTGGTCGTGTTAGATTCAGCATCCACCACCTTGCGGGGCTTGAGAGGTGACCGGGATAACTTCTGTTCGAAGAGCTTGTCCTCTTCCATGGGGCTGTGACCATTCTCCTCTTTGATTCTCACATCCTTCAGAGAGCCGAGCGAGTCGAGGGAGGAGCGTGGCGATTTGTTGTTTTCGATGGCCTCTTTGAGAGAGATGGGGGCGGAGATGCTAGTCCTTTTGGAGGTGATACTCCCGCAGTGTTCCGAGTCAGAGTGGGGACCGTCCTCATACTCTGGTGAATCCAACACATCAACAATTTTCTTACTGCACTTGTTGACCTTGTGGCGTATGAATTTGAGGATATCCTGTAGAGGAAAGCTCGTCTGACACTCACCACAGAGCAGCAGGTCATTCTCTTGTTCCACTGCAACAAACAAAATAAACAAACATCAACAAAAATTACAATGATTCTGGAAAGTATTTTCACCCATGAAAAACTGGTTTATAATAACGAAACAACTTATTCAATACAAACTAAAATCTGAAATTTTCACAACATATCCTGATTTGAAGTATTTGCTGATAATAAAACTGCAGTCTCTGATTCAGGCAGATCTTAGTTAGCCTCTCTCTGTTATAGTGAAAATGCCACCCATTCAATACATTGCTCCACTTGAAATCAGTTTGTGGTTACAGAAAAAATGAAATTCAACAACATATCAATTATACAGAATTCCCGGGAAGCTTGTGAACATGGACGGCAAACAGATGTCTCGCAGACCAACTCTTTCAACTCCACAACCAATATCAAATCTGAGGAAATTTCTCATAATGAATTATTTTACAATGTCTGGTAATAGTGAGGTGCCTACTACGGAAAATACTTTCAGCTAAGAACTGAACTATTAAATGCTATGTGAGACCTCTGTTAGTCGAGCTAGAGCTGAAGCGTCAAGAATACAAAATCAGGGATGCCACAGTGACGGAACTCTTTCCAGTTATCAATCAAAATCAATCCACTTCTCCATGACAATGAATAAATTAACTTTTTAGACGATTTCTGACGTCTTTTTGAAGTGTTAATTTGTTTGAAATCTCAGCCTCGGCTGTAAATGATTTAAACATCACTTCATAAAATCCTGATTCAATTATTGCATTTAATTTTTTCACTTTTTGTGTCAATAATTCAAATACAGTTTAGATCGACAAAAATGAACTGAACAAATAAAATAAAATTGAAAATATTTTTTTAATCTCTATAAATTCTAGATCAAACTAATTCAGCCATACATTTTTTTTCTCATTCATAAACAGATTAAAAAATCAACTAAACAATGAGAAGTCAGCTCTGCCACAGCCAAACAGTCTTACGAGCATCGATCACGGACCTGGAATACACAAAACCTCTAAACCGCTCTAGGAATATAGCTTAGGCCTACCTCTGAAAATAAAACATCATTTGATATTTTAATTCTTCCCCTCCTAACAAAACTCTACAATCAGGAAACGAGTTGGGTCAGAACGGAGGCCAGTTTTCTTCAATTTATTTCTGCAAAGTTAGTGCATCTTGCATCGTATTGCATGCCTCGCCACCATTGTCTACCGTTAGCTCGCCAGTGATTACAATACAAGAAATCCCCCAACGTGTGCTTGCTATGTTAATGAATCGTCTAAATCACTCCCCACTAGCTTTAGTGGTGTTTAAATATGGGTCTGTAGTTTGTTAAGTTTCTATTCGTAATTTACGATTTTCAAGCAAATTGCTTTATAAATTGATACAATATCTTGCAGGAAATTTCCCACAAAGGCCACAAGCAAAAATAATTTGAAATTTATCACCGTCTTTAAAAGATACCCTAAAAAAAGAGGGATTAATTTCGAATATGTGCATTCGATTTCCACATAAACTAGGGAGTCCTACTTTGGTAGGAAAATGTTGAATTCCCAGGATCGTGCAGTGTACTCGCTGATGTAAATGTATTTATGCGGTCGTGGCATGCTTAGGGTCCATTTTTACGATTACGGTCAAACTGTTCACAGAGGCTCTCCATATCGTAAGATTCATAAGCACTTGTTTCAATAAGAAGATGTTGAGGATAAAAGATAATCTTCTAGTCTGAGACGAAGGATGTTGAAGACAAGAAAAACTTTCCTAATATTCCTGATCATAATATTAACTTAATCTTAACGTTTGATATTAACATGTTCCAAATTTTTGTATTATAATAATTTAACTTGTTTTTATTTTTATCAGAATGATTTAACTTGATCCTAATTTTTAACCTCAATAATTGTACATTTTGTTACTTGTTATATTTACCTATTTACATTAACTTAATTTCCCCCTAAACAAATTATTTTGTTGTGTTAATTCTGGTAAACTTATGAAATACATTTCTAAAGTATTATTTTCCCCTAAAGTATTTTTTATTTCTGAAGGCTTAATCATGTTTTTGTCCTAATTGACATATTTTTAAAGGTTTTGATAAATATAAAAGAGAAAATTTATTTTTGGTCACTGATATTTTTCCCCGACCGACCCAGTACAACAGCTCTAATATCCTAAATATTGGCAAATCAGGAAGCGACAAACCGGATTTATCTCTTTCCCCTTTTCCAATTTGTCTCATTGAAAATGCATGACCTTCAAATACATGCCGATCACTAATCTACCCTTCTTCCATTTCTTCTACCGTTTTCATACCCGATTACCTTTACCACAAATGAGCAGAAAATCACGACCAACTCTATCCCAATAAAATCAATATTCTTGCAATCTTTAATGATTAGAAATCCCTCAATTTAGATTTTAATTAGTGTGATAGAGAGCTGCTGAATGGCCTAAAGCATGATAGCTTTGTAAGTCGCCCCCTTCAAGGAGGGGCCCATTAGCCTAGCATTATCTGCATAATCACACTGAGCTCCAGAGTGATGACACGGTTTTCAACCAAATGCGCCCACCCTCGCTGACCTAACCCTGGTGTACAAGTGCCAAGGAAGAAGATCTTGCTCCTATATACCCATATTAATATTTGTTATCTGGGCGCTCTCGGTTGGTGTGAAGATATCCGGGAGAAGGAGGTGGATGTTTCTGCTGCAGAAACTGCTCCAGTATAGGATTAATGACGGTTATGTTTTGCACACACGAACTGGTAGGAGCGAGTGAGAAACGAGTTCGGTTTATAATCCTATAGGCAAGGTCAAATGTTTTAGCGCAATTACAGCCATGTAAAATCGAGGTAAACAATTGTACAGTGATCCAACGTAAGTGTCATTTTGGTAGTTACTTTTAGATTCTGTGAGTAAAAGGGTTACAGTAACACCTAGGCAAAGGTATTTTAAAATTCATCCATTTAGCCTTCAAATTTTGTTTATCTTTCCCCCAGAACTGTGAGTACAGTTGCTTAGTGAGGTAAGAACATCACACAGTGGCTGGAGTATCAACTACACTCACTGATCACACAGACCAGTACACTGGTCCTAACTCGACATCTCAAGAGATTACATACAAAAAAATTGAAACTGATCTGGATCAGGAAGTGGGTCAGCCCAGGCTTGAATTATAATCAGGTAAAGGAGATATCAGATTCTGATGTATCTACCAAAACCTCATATATCTTAATAAGACATAGATCTAATCTATCTTAACATAAAACAAACCTAATCTATCTTAACCCAAAACAAACCTAATCTATCTTAACACAAAACAGACCTGGTCTATCTTAACCTAAAACAGACCTAGTCTATCTTAACCCAAAACATACCTGGTCTATCTTAACCCAGAACAGACCTGGTCTATCTTACCTCAAAACAGACCTGGTCCATCTTAACCCAAAACAGCCCTGGTCTATCTTAACTCAAAACAGACCTAGTCTATCTTAACCCAAAATAGAACTGGTCTATCTTAACTCAAAACAGACCCGGTCTATCTTAACCCAAAATAGAACTGGTCTATCTTAACTCAAAACAGCCCTGGTCTATCTTACCCCAAAACAGACCTGGTCTATCTTACCTCAAAACAGACCTGGTCCATCTTAACCCAAAACAGGCCTGGTCTATCTTAACTCAAAACAGACCCGGTCTATCTTAACCCAAAATAGAACTGGTCTATCTTAACTCAAAACAGCCCTGGTCTATCTTACCCCAAAACAGACCTGGTCTATCTTACCTCAAAACAGACCTGGTCCATCTTAACCCAAAACAGCCCTGGTCTATCTTAACTCAAAACAGACCCGGTCTATCTTAACCCAAAACAAACCCACCCCCTCTTAACCCAAAACAGACCTAATCTAACTTAACCCAAAACAGACCCGGTCTATCTTAACCCAAAACAGACCTGGTCTATCTTAACCCAAAACAGACCTGGTCTATCTTAACCTGAAACAAACCTAATCTATCAATATCTTAACCCGAAACAAACCTAATATATCTTAACCTGAAACAAACTTAATTTATCTTAACCCGAAACAACCTTGATCTTAACCTGACACAAACCCGATCTTAACCTGACACAAACTTGATCTTAACCTGAAACAAACTCGATTTTAACCTGAAACAAACCCGATCTTAACCTGATACAAATCTCATCATAATCTGATCTTAACCTGACACAAACCTGATCTAACCTGACACAAACCTGATCTTAACCTGATCTAACCTGATCTTCCCGACACAAACCTGATCTAACCTGATCTTAACCTGACACAAACCTGATCTAACCTGATCTTCCTGACACAAACCTGATCTTACCTGATCTTAACCTGACACAAACCTGATCTAGCGTCTTGTCCTTTTAGTTGATACAATTACAGTGTTAGTCACTGAATCCTCTATTTGTATTTTAATTGGAAATGAATGCCCTGTACATTGGACGTTATTGAATAGATACTGTTAGCTATCCCATGCACACATGAAAGTCAAACGTGCTTTTCTATAGAGGTTATTGAACGTTATCAAAAATGTGTATGGGCCGTCTCGCAACAGACCTGCTGCTCAATGAATTATCAAAAAAACAAAAAACAATAAAAAAGTTATGATACGCTGGTTTGGATAAATGTTGGGATCGTAAAAAATGGGATGAATTCCCAACACACCGGAACATATAAATAAAGACAAGAATTCCCTGTGACAGACATCATAGCAGCCAGTGATAGTTAAGTGATATATTTATACACTGATTTCTACAGAGACACCTCTTATTACATCTCCAGTCTAGATATCAACGATTCTAGTGAAGTCTGCTGTTAATATTCAAAGCCGTGTCAATCAATCATGTAATATGGGGCGGACGAAATAGGATACAATGAATTCTGGTAGCATATGCCAGTTCCATATAAAAATCTTATACCCATCTACCAGTGATATGTTTTGCTAGTGAAATGTTAGGACTTATCCCACACAATGATGTGGTCATGTGACTTTGCT